GACAATCAATCAATCAATTTTAAAAACATAAACAGAGGAAATAAAAATGATTAATACAGGAGTTATCTGGTTATTGAAGTCTTGGTGGACTATTAGACTGGTATTTTTTTCTGATGGTGTTGAAATTTGAACCCAAGGCCTCATGTGTGCCCAGGATTTATTATTGAGCTACATATGCAGTCCTAGACTGGTGCTTTTTGTTGAGGTTCTCTCTTGGACAGCCTTCTCTGTCTTCATCTGTGTCTTTCGGTTTTGTGTAATCTTTTCATTTCTGCAGAGACAAGTTTAATAAATTTTCCTGTATCCCTAGATCTTACGATTAATATGTTTCCCTAGAAAAAAAATTATATAGATTAAAGAATGTCATTGTATATTTTTTTGTTGCTCTTGTGTGGTCCTCCTTCATTAATATCTTCCTTTGTTTTGCTTTACTTTTATTTTCTGTGCTTTGAGTTTAATGCTTCATTTGTTTTTACTTGTTTGTATTGATGTTTAAGAGTCTGAATTTTCCTTAGATCATTGTTTTAGTTACATTGCTTAGATTCTGACTTGTAGTACTTCCACTTTTATAAGAAAGCCTGTGATTTTTATTGGTAGTTCTCTTTTAGACCAACTTACATAATCTGACTGCATTGTGATTCTGTAACCAGGTCTGTTACTTTTCAGATCTTACTGTAATTTTTTTTTATTTAATATGTGTATCAGATAATTTTGTAAAATAACAAATTAAATTCTCTATTTGAATGCAGAATTTATCCTCTACTAATAAGGCAGACTTTATTACATTCTGTAGGCCTTCACAGCCTTAATTATTCTCCACTTGTTTTTTTTTGTTTTTTTTTTTTTTGGTTTTTCTCCGGTACCGGGAACTGAACTCATGACCTTGCACTTGCCAGGCAGGCGCTTTGCCGCTGAGCTAAATCCCCAGCCCCTAATTATTCTCCACTTGTTTGAGAGTGATGTGTAAAATTTCCCTGTTGTTAGTTGTGTCTTTCTCCATGGGTTGTAGGAACTTTCATTTTGTAAAGGTGACTGCTTCGGTCAGTGGCATATAAATATTCATAGCTGTTCTGTGTTTATTGGGAGTCATGGTCTTCGGCAATTATAAAATATCCTTTTAAAATTCATTTAATGCTTTTTGTTCACTCCCAGCTTCTTCACCAGTGTTTCCCAGTCATCTCATGGGTGAAATTTATCTTCCAACGGATTCTTTATAAACAGCTTGCAGTTATGATGTGCCAGAATTCTTGCATATCAAAAACTGGTTTTCTGTAGTTTTGTTGCAAAATCACAGTTTGAGTGGATATAAAATTTTTGATTCACATTTTATTCCATTCAGTTTCTGAAAAAAATGTTACTCCACATAGTCATCCTTTGTGTGGTTCCTTTCTTTTGCTTCCTCTGCTGTCTTTCCTGTGCGCTCTGCTGGAGCATTTGAGAGGTGGTTGCAAATGTAACGAGTCGTGCTCCTTAGTAACTTGCTTCTTATCACCTAAGGATTCTCCTCCATCACCAAGACACAGCTCCCACTGTCAGGAAGCTTACCCTCAGTGCAGTGCTAATAACCAGCGTGCGTAACCTCTAATCAGATTTCCCCGGTTTTCGTAATAATGTCTTTTATTGTTGGAGTTTGCTTTTTCACCTGGCATCTCATCAGGATAACTCATAGCCCATTACCTGTAGTTGTTAACCCTTGTTAGCCTCTTTTAATCTAGAAAAATTATCCATTTCTCTCTCTCCTCTTTCCTTCTCTCCCTATACCCCGCCCCCGCCACCTTGCCTCTTTTTCTCTTCCTCTTCTTTCTTTTCCTTCCCTTGACTTTCATGACATGGTTTAAATGAGAGTTCTGTCAACTCTCAGTTTGGACTTGGTGTGTGTGTGTCTCCAGTGTGTAAGCAGGGGGATCTTAGACATCTTTACTGAAAGGTTTTTAAATTCATTTTTTTGTTTGCCCTTTTAAATAGGCTTTTTATTTTACAGTACTGTGTTTACGAAAGAATTGAGCAGAAAGTACCAGAAAATCCCCTCCCTCCCACGCACAGCCTCTCCCTATGAACAGCCCCACCAGAGGAATGCATTTGTTAAAACTGTTGAACTTACGTTGATACAATTTTATCTGTAACCGGTTTGTGATTTACAGTGTACATTTTGCATGTGGGACTTTCTGTGAGTTTTGAGAAGCATTTAATAATGTGTATCCACATTATAAGGGCACAAAGAATTTTCTCTGCCTTGAGAGCTCTCTGTGTAGTGCCTGCTCACTTCTACTCCGGCAACCACTAAGCTTTTACTGTCTTTGTACTTTGTTTTTCCGTGAATGTCGCATAGTTGGAATCCTACAGTATATAGCTCTTTGAGACTAGCTTCTTTCACGCGTTAGTGCACATGTAAAGTTCTTCTTCGCCTCTTCCTGCCTGATAGCTCACCCCTTTCTAGCCCTGAGTGAGGTTGTGTGGACGTCTCTGCTCGTCTGTGCACCTGGAGAAAGGCATCTTGGTCACGTCCACATTTAAGTAATTATGGATAGAGCTGCAGTAAACATCTCCATGCAGATTTTTGTATGGACGTAAATGTTTCAGTTCATTTGATTAGATACCAAGGACCTTTATTACTAGATTGCATGGCAAGATTATGTTTGCTTTCATGTGAAACTGCCAAACAAAGGGGCTGTAACAGTGCATTTCCACCGGCAATGGTGAGCATTTCTGTTGGTCTACATTTTGGCATATTTGGTGCTGAGGGTGTTCTGCATTTTAACCCTTCTAATAAGTATGTTGTGATATCTTGTTTTAATTTGCCTTTTCTAATGATGTATGATATGGAATATCTTACAGATTCACATGAGCATTATCTTATCATAGGTAGGATTATCTGAACCTGTATATCTCCTTTGGTGAGGTTTCTGTTGAGATCTTCTGTCTCGTTTTCCTTGAGCTTTATGAGTTCTTTATGTAGTTTAGATAATAGTCCTTAGTGCTGCATTGCCTTGTGCAAATGCTGTCTTGTTGTTCTGTGACTTATCATTTCTTTCTCTTACACGTTTCACTCTTTTGACAGTGTCTTTCACACAGTGGAGGAAATTAATTTTAATGAACTGTAGCTCATCCGTTCTTCCTTTCATGGATTGTGCCCAGTGACTTTCACTATACTCGAGGCCATCTGAATTTCCTCCTGTGTTACCTGTACCTCGTCCCTTTATTGGCGTTTTGAGACAGGCTGACACTATGTGGTTCAGGCCGGCTTTAAACTCAACATGTAGCCCAGAGTGGCCTTGAACTCACAGGGATTCTTCTTCTTCAGCCTCGTGAGTGCTGGGACTGCGGGTGTGTGCCACCAAACCCAGTTAGATTGATTGATTTCAGTGTGAATGCCCCGTTGTTCCACCACAACTATTAAAAGGCTTCTTTTGGGGCTGGGGATTTAGCTCAGTGGCAAAGCGCCTGCCTGGCAAGTGCAAGGTCGTGAGTTCGGTTCCCGGTACCGGAGAAAAACAAAAACAAAACAAAAAAAAGGCTTCTTTTTTCTCCATTGTATTGCCTTTTTGGGTCAGAGTTCAGTTGATGATACTTTCTGTGGGTGTTCTTCCAGGCTGTATACCGCTTCATCCATCCGTCTATTCTTTGCCACCGCCATACTGGCCGACCGCTGTAGCTTTTGTAGTGTTCTTCAACTTCTTCAGTATTGTGTTGACTTTCCTGGGTGCTTTGCCTCTCTAGGTCTTTGTTTTAGAGCATATCATCCCAGCTTGACTGGACCACAAGGGTCCAGATGATTGGCTAAACAGTATTGCTGGGTGCGTCTGTGAGTTTTATGAGCCATTTGAGCAAATTAAAACAGAGGAGGAGGTCATGGGAAACCCTGTCCATAGACAGTTCATCAAAAGCACACATAAAACAACCAGGGGCTTGTGATTGGCATCTTTATGGGTGGGGGTGAGTCGTTGTCTCGTGAGGTCTGCTTCCGTCTTTGTGGCTGAGCCTTCCACATGTAGCACCTGACACCCTCCTTGGTAAATAGTGTCAGAACAGAACTGCATTAATCCCAGCCCTTGGGAGCCTGAGGCAGGAGGATCGTTGGGAGTTCGAGACCAGCCTGGGCTACAAAGTGAGCTCAAGGCCCCCCTGAACTGCATAGCGAGACCTTGTCTCAAAAAGAAAAAAAAAAAAAAAAGAGTTGTGTTAGAGGATAACCAACTGATATCCTCTCCAGAATTAATTGTTTTCTTGCTGGTGTGGAAAAATCCCCACATTGTGTGAGGTCATAGACAGTTTTCATGTTGTTGTGGTATGAGAAAAGAGGAAAAGCAATTTGTTTTTCTAACAGTACAATACCATTTTTTACCCAAACTAGTTTTCTTTATAACTTCTCTTTCTTTAATTTCTTTTTGAGACAGGGTCTTGCTGTGCAGCTCAGGTAACTTTGTAACCCAGGCTGAACTTGAACTTGTAACGGTCCTCCTGCCTCAACCTCCCGAGTGCCGGGATTATAGGTGTGCACCACCATGCCCGGCTTTCTGCCTTCTCTTAAAGCAGATAAAAGAAAAACTGACCTTTCAATGTATTCATGACTTGACTTTGCTTTCATAAACCAAGAGGGACCTCAAAACAACTATTAGATTATCTACTACCAGCAAAGCTGGCTCAGAATTAACTCTGACTACCAGTATGTTCTTTCTGGATACTGTCACTGAAGATCTGTTACCTCACCGTTGCTAGAGACTTACCTGTTAGTTAAAATTAAGTGAAATATATACAGGTACATCTATAGTCCTGAAAAAAACATTTCTATTTATTAAGTGTGCTGAAGCATCGCTCTGTGTTGTAGAGTAATTGTAACAATTTTAAGTACTTATAAGTTGCTCCAACTTGCCTCTGACATTTTAAAAATGGGATTCTTTACCTTGGGAGTCTCCTATCTTGATGAATCACAGCTAATGTTTTTCGTTTTATTTTAGAGTCATGCCCAGTATTTTAAAATACAACTTTGCTTTGACTTGCAGTGTGTGTAGAGAATATTTCCAGAATGGTGGAAAGAAAAAAGCACTTGAAAAAGATGAGAAAAGAGCTGTACTCACCAGTAAGACCGCTCCAGCCTTAAACACGCGCGAGTCTTCTAAACTTGAAGGTCCGTTAACCAACCTCGCTTTTACAAACCCTGAATTTATAACTGAGTAAGTATACCTTCTCCGCTTTAGGTAACGTTATCCTAGGTAGCTGTATCGATGCAAAATGGCGGAATGGCTTATACCAAATAGTGAGCAGTTTATTTTCCCCTTGGTAATAGGCTGACAAGTGTAAATTTGTCCTATTAGGTAGAAAACGAGGATAAAATTTTTAAAACGTTTGGAAAATTAGTGCTTCTGTGTAGCATGTGTTGTCCTCACTAAAAATGAGAAAGAATAGTTTATTATATGTTATAATAATAATGCCTGTAACATCAAGTATCAAAACAGTAAAATTCAGTTAAGCTGTTTAAAATAGCTATCTGCTAAGAAATTACAAATAAAGAAAAAAAAAATGAAAGGTAATTAATAGGAATAATCTTTGTTGATCTGAAAATCTGCCTGCTAGTAGTTTATTTAAATAGGCACAAATTTTTAAGTACATAAATATTATAATCCAATTAATTATAGGTAGTATTAAAATTGTTTTTACATTTTAGTGCCTGAATGAATTTTTGCTATCAAGTAATATTTAACCATTTGCCTGAAAAATGAGAAATGCAGTTCTAGAAAAGTTGTTGAGAGATGCTGAATACTAACCATGAAATAAAATTAAACTCTTAGTTTCATAACTTTAGGTATCAATATGTTATTTCCTGCAAGTTAAGACAACACTGAGAGTCCATCTCACCCCTGAAAGAATGCCTATCATCAAGAAATCAACCCATAACAAATGCTGGCGGGGCTGCGGGGAACAAGGAACCCTTCTCCACTGTTGGTGGGAGTGTAGACTGGTGCAACCACTGTGGAAATCAGTCTGGAGATTCCTCAGTAAACTAGGATTAGAGCTCGCATTCAACCCAGCTATTTCCCTCCTGAGTATTTTTCCAGAAGAACTGAAAACATCATACCACAGTGATATATGTGCACCCATGTTTATAGCAGCACAATTCGTAATAGCTAAATCTTGGAAACAACCCACATGTCCATCAGCTGAGGAATGGATAAAAAAGATACTGTATTTTTATACAATGGAGTATTACTCAGCTGTAAAGAAAGATAAACTAGAGGCTTTTATAGGTAAATGATGCAACTAGAGACCATACTCATTAGTGAAATAAATCAGCTTCACATGTGTAAACATCGTATTTCCCCCTTACTATAAGAACCTGAAAGAGTAAATAAAATTTGAAAGGGACAGTGGATATTGTGAAAGGGAAAGATACTGCTCAAACAGGAAGGAGCAACTGGGGTGAAGGAGGGGAGAAGAAAAAGAAGGAAGGAAGAGAAAAAATATGTATGTGTGTACACAGAATAGCTAGGTTAACTATATTACTAATACCTGTTGGTTTACTGAAAGGAACTGTTAATGTGTAATTGTTTGATCAGTCTTGTAGGCCTGTATCTGGTTACATGTGCAACCATTTTGAAGATGACATTGTGTAGTACAACAACCATTGTTAATATCCTATCACCATGTTTTGAAATTCTGTATCATTTTTATTGTTCTCTATGCTGTTTTGTTTATGTATTTGTTTTTTGTTATTTTGGGTTTTATTTTCAATGAAAAGCAAAATTTATATGTATATATAAAGATACCTGGAATAGGTGTATTGCTGATGTCTGTGGTTTATTGAAAGGAACAATCAATGCTTAAAATTTTCTTTACTCTTCACCAATTTCACATGCTTGAATTTGGTAATCAGAGTGACTGATCTGAAAACAACAACATGCAGTATAAGAACCATTGTTGAACTCCTACCATCTGTATCGTGAAGCTCTGCATCATTTCCAGTGTTGTTTTCTTTTTCTTATTTTTTATTACTTGTTACTGTCTTTGTTTGATCAGTCTTAGGTTTTTATGTCTGGTGGACTGAGCAACTGCGTTGAAGATAACAGTATGTAATATAGCAACCACTGTAAATTTCTGTCACTTTGCTTTGAGGTCATGTATTGTTTTTGTTGTTTCGTGTCGTTTTGATTTTGTCTTCATTGTTGTTTTGTTAGTTTTTTTAATTTGTAAAATTAAAAAAAAGAATATGTTATTTCCTTGTTACTTTGATTTTATACCATGTTGATATTACCTAGTTATAAGCAATTCCTTTTAATAGTGAATTAACAGGGGCCTGTAATCCCAGCACTTGGGAGGCTGAGGCAGGAGGATTGCTGTGAGTTTGAGGCCAGCCTAGGCTAGATAAGCGAGTTCAAGCCCCACCTGCACTACATAGCAAGACCCTGTTTCCAAAAGTACAACATGAATTAACCTATCTTTGATTAGTTCAGTAAAAAATGGTAAGACATCTGTGTTTTTATTGAAAGGTTACTACCGAGTTTGTAAAACATAACAACTCATTAAATAGCCATAGCTCAGACGTTACAGACATTTTTGAATAGTTTTGAAGTGTTGGCCAATATAAGTAATTAGTTATATTTCTATCAAAAATGAGTTAATACGGGAAGTATCAATTGTGGAAATGCATATGGTTCTTTTTCATACTCTTCTTTGTTGAAATTACTTTATTTATGCAGTTACTGTCATACTTTCCTTTGATTCTTTAACATGGTTTTTTATTTGTTCTTTGAGATGGAATCTCACTATGTTACCCAGGCTGGCCTTGAACTTCCTGGGCTCAAGCAGTCGTCCAATTTAGCTTGGCAACTAGCTAGGACTATATGCAAACACTGTGGTCCCCAGCTTAACATTATAATCACTGCTTTGAAGTTTTTGTCTGTTAAATCCAACATTTAGGCTAAGAGTAAACTTCTGCTACTGCTCGTTCTTTCCTCAGCATGAGTCATGCTTTTCTGGTTTTCTTTGCATGTCTCATAATTTATTGTTGAAAACTGGGCAATGTTGACAGTACAGTATAGAAATACTCATTTTGGATTTTCTCCTGAGGGCTTGGAGCAGAGTTTTAGACATTTAACGGAACTTAATGTGTGGAATCCGTCTCCTTTGTATTTGTATATGCTGATATCTGTTGGTTTTCTAGGTTTAGATTTTTTCTTTTTTAATTGATTTTTTGACCAGTTTTGTAAGATCTGCACTTCATACAGCTCAGTGTCAAAAACAGTAGGTCAAAGGTTGCTCCCCTGTCCGTCCCTGAGATCCCAGCTGTATGGGAGATTGAGGCATGAGGATTTGAGACCAGTGAGAAACTAGGCAAGGCTGGCCTCAAACTCACAGCAGTCCTCCTGCCTCAGCCTCCCAAGTGCTGGGATTACAGGCCTCTGTTAATTCACTTTTTAAAAAAGGCAGGAAGGGATAGCTCAGGGGTTGAGCACCCTGGGTTCAAAACCTTCTAGTCAGGAAAACTTATGTGCGCTCCCTCTCTGCACATGCCTGTGTTGATTGGGGAACACATGTGACATTCACACAGTTTTCCAATCAGCCTGTTTTGCTTTCCGCCAGGCCCGCTTGGATCTCCCTTGCATTTCACATGGCCTCTGTACCAGCCCCGGCTGTGCCCGTTCCAGGGTCTTTGTAGTTTCTGCCTAGACATTCAGTCTGCACCTCAGCCAACCAAGAGCGCCGTAGCAATGTTAGACCGCCCTAGGTGTTGACACTCGCAGCCCGCATATCCCGGCTTCCCTGCTTTAGACAGTGCTGTGTGGGCTTCCTCCTGTGCACCGCGCTGAGCTAGTCCCCACCCAGCCCAGCGCTGACGTTGCTTCTCCAGCCAGCCCGGCCGGGAGGAATTTGCATGCGCCTGGGCAGAGAGCAGAGCAGGGGGACAGCTCTCCGGGCCAGGAAGCCGCCGGCCCCGCTGTTCGCTCCTGTGTGCAGCTGGTTTTCATAAAGAAGCATTTCTCGCCTTGTGTGCCCTTACACTCCGGAATGCTTGTTTCTGATGATTTTGTCTGATTGTTTTTGAGGATGAGACTTGCCACCTTTTTATTCTACCATAGTCAGAAATGCTTTTCTCTGACTTAGTCTTAAAGTAGAACACTTCATTTGGTTTTATATCCAAATACAATTATTATAAGCCAGAATTTACTTAGTATGAAAATTAAGCCTTAGAATGACTTAGCCTAACGTGACTAGATTGAGATTTTTTGCATTCTCAAAGCTTGTTGGTATAGCGTCTGGCGTCAGCGTGTGTGTACAGATCTGTTCCTCTTGTTCTGCTCACTGTTTTGAAGCTTGTATTTTAGTCATATGGAACCATTTTACACACTCCTCGTGTGCTTCGTGTTTGATTCCTCTTTCTGGCAGTTGCAAATGCAGTATCTCCTCTTTCTGATAAACTACTGCTGTATTAGACGACGTTTGAAGCATTGTCTCTTTCTGAACTTTCCAGAAGAACTGACGCTTTTTGCTTCCAGTGTTGAACTTTTTTATGCCTGTGCCGTGGTACTTATATTACAATTCACTAGACTGTGTTTTTCTGAGTACAAATGAAATAAAGGATTGAGAAATTTGTATGTGGAAAAGATATGATAGATGTAGAAACACAAATATCACTCAGTCCTGGTCACATTAGGGACATTTCTTTTTAGCCTTTCTACTGGGCATTTTTTTTTTTTTTAACTGTAATAGAGACTATACCATGTAAAGAATTTTGTAAACCTCTCTTCCTATGCCAGTAAAATACTCATTCTAAATAGATTTTCTTCATAAAAATCTACCACCATATGTCTAAATATGAACTGATTCTGAATAGAAAAATACCCACTTTTCAGACAAAGAAATTCCTTCCACTTAGTACTCTGCTTATTCACAGGTTTTATCTTGTAGGAAGATACATACGTTAGTATCCAAATCTATTTGACTTTGGATGTCATAGCTTATCTTTTTGCAAGACTTATGTCAGAATAAATACTCAAATTATTTTAATTTCTGGGTTTAGATAGCAAACATTCGTGTAGTAAATATATCTTTTATTTTCTAACTTATATTTTATGAAAACCAAATTAAAAACCCAGTGTTCATTATTACTAGAGCTATTTTGTTTTTGTTTTTTGTTGTTTTTTTTTTTTTTTTACTAGAGCTACTTTGAAGTCATATA